GCCCTCTTTGTCAGTTGTCGCCAGTTGTACAGGATGGCATTCTGAGAGTGGGTGGCAGATTGAGCAGATCTAGCATGCAAGAGGAGTTAAAACACCCTGCAATCTTGGCTAAGGATCAGCATATAGCCACTCTCATTCTCAGATCTACTCACGAGGATCTTGGGCATTGTGGCAGGAATCATGTCCTGTCAAAGGTACGGCAGAAGTACTGGATACTAAGATCTCATGCTGCTGTCCGGAAGATTTTGTCCCGGTGCGTCGCCTGCAGACGGCATAATGGGAAAGCGGCAAGTCAGATCATGGCAGATCTTCCTACTGAAAGGCTCACGCCCGATGAGCCACCGTTCACAAGTGTCGGTGTGGACTACTTTGGTCCCTTCGAAATCAAAAGGGGTAGGTCCATGATCAAAAGATATGGCGTTGTTTTTACTTGCTTGACAGTGAGGGCTGTGCATATTGAGCTGGCAAATTCGTTGGACACGGACTCTTGTATTCATGCATTGCGGAGGTTCATTGCTAGGAGGGGACAGGTTCAGTTGATGCGTTCTGACAATGGAACAAACTTTGTAAGTGCAGAGAGGGAGCTGCGGGAAGCAGTGCGTGCTTTGGATAATGCAAAGATTCAAGAAGCCTTGTTGGTTAAAGGCATCACATGGATATTCAACCCCCCTGCTGCCTCGCATTTTGGAGGAGTTTGGGAGCGGCAGATACGGTCCATACGCAAAGTGCTCAGCTCCGTTGTGGAGCAGCAGATCCTTGATGAGGAGGGTCTGCACACACTGCTGTGTGAGGTAGAGGCGATTATCAATAGCCGCCCTATCTCAAGAGTCTCTACCGATCCGAATGACCTGGAGGCCTTGACGCCAAACCATTTGCTTTTGATGAAGGCCAAAACTCCACTACCTCCTGGAGTATTCAGCAGGAGCGACTTGTACTCAAGGCGTAGATGGCGGCAAGTCCAGTACTTGGCGGATTTGTTTTGGACACGGTGGATCAAGGAGTATCTGCCAGACTTGCAAAGGCGACAAAAGTGGGCCCAGCCACAAAGAAATATCAGTCAAGGTGATATTGTTCTCGTCGTGGATGATTCCGCTCCAAGAAATTCATGGCTAATGGGTCGAGTGATTCAGACGTTTGAGGATGCCAAGGGTCGGGTTCGTCAAGCCAAGGTGAAAACCAGCAAAAACATTCTCCTACGACCTGTGGCGAAGCTTTGTGTGCTGCTAGAGTGTGATATGTAGCGCCCCTTCTACATATCACTCAAGAGACAGCGGTAAAGGCTGGTCTCCTACGGCGAGTCATGTGCTTGAACCTCTGACTCCATTCCCTAATCTCCTCAACATACACACATACACGCATCCGCGAAGACATGTTCCAGCTTAAGAAGAGTTCCTGCTGTAACAAGACAAAATGAAGTTTCTGTTGGAATAAGGACATTAATGTGCCATATGAGCAGTTCAAGTACTTTGTATATTTGCCTGTTCGTTATCTGGAAGGTTTGATTTGTTGTTCTGAACAATATATAAGTGTATGTATAAGAGTAACTGTTTTGTGGCTCACAAGAACAATTAGGGGCCAGGATGTTGGAGCCAAGTCCAGGCCAATATTTTACTCAGTTACATCATGCCATATTTAAGTATTTGTCATGATCTTTAAGTTTTTATTATAATCTTGATCATTTTAGGTTATAATGTAATATGCTGTGCTCCATAAATTAATCCTGCTTTGTTAGTCTGTTGTTGTTGTAAAGTGTTGGTAGATGTCGTAAAGGGGGTGTGTATTTGGCCCGCATGCGGAGGGGTAGGGAAAAAAGGTTAGGTAAGCAAGCAGGACGTGGAGCAACAGTTTTCTGACCGTCGCCGTTTTAATGTTATTTTTTGTAGCCACACAAAGGGAATATAAACGGAGCTCCCACCAGAGGCATTTGTTTTGTACCTTTCGTTTTGTAAGGAAAATAAATGTTTTGCCCCTTTTTTCCTTCGCCTCGTTTTTTGCTACCGGAAGGCATCCAAGAGACTTAACAAGAGCACGAGTCAGAAACTTTACGTTCTGCAAAAGCGGCAAAGAAGGACCGAAGGTTGCCGCTATACGGAACAATTTGAAATTGTGTTCCTTACTGCCATTTGTTGTAATGACAACATGCAGACATACAGGGACTGAATTATGGGCATTCTAAATATCACGTTACTCTGGACCTATGACCTCTTCTTCAAGGTCAAAAAAGGTCAAATTTTCCTAAAATGTCTTGTATCCTTAAAACTATAAATACAATTCTACTTCCTTTGATTGTTTTAGTAATATTTATTTAACAATACTGATATATAGGGATTCTAAATGTAATTTTTTTAAAATCCAAATTATCATCAGTGTCATGTCACATTTTACCTCTCATCTCAGGTTTCCATTGCACACCTGTTCTTCTTGATTCCAAAGCTTATTATATCTTTAAAGAAAGTTGCCTCAAACTCTACAATAATACACAGGAAACAGGGAAATAGGAAGGAAAAGGTCACTTTTAAGGAAGCAGTTCTACTTTGTTTGTCTTGTTTATCCCTTCATTCTATTTATGTTTTGCTTACATAATATGTAAATATACCAACATTTGGGATAAAGAAAGCATAGTACAGTATATTGTAAAGATAATAATATGTATGAAGTAATTTAAATGAGCTTGTTTGCCTTTTTCCTTCTTTAAGCATCTGATTCTCTTTATGAGCTGCACAATATAAACAGGTCATATCTTTGAAGCTTGGTATGATTTGTGAACTAATTGGCATCATGTGTGGAATCATCCCAAAGCACTACAGTTACCACTTTAGAGAAGAGCTGGACCTCTGAATGTTTATTTTGAGATCATTACCTAAGCTGGCTAAACTAACCAGCTGGTTTAAGGGATAATCCAACACTGTTAATCCAGTAAATCTGTATTTCTCAGTAAAAACTTGAAGATTTATTTTCTACTGCCTTATAGAAAGAGTTTTAGAGAATAACACCCAAAAGTGATATTAAGGTTCGCCACTATAGATATTTGGAAGCGGATTCCTGAATTTGAGTTCTCACTATTTTGCTGGTTTGTTGGTTGTGGAGAACAAACACTGCTTCTTTATGTAGCTTCATCCTAGGGAGACATTGCAGGCGATATCATTGAGCCGTCCTTCCTTTCCCTGCATTTTCCCTTCTATTACACCACCTTCCTCCAGGCGGAGTCCATCGTCTTCAGCGTCATCCAGGCTCCTCGACACGGCACCATCGAGCGCACCGTCAAAGGCCAACACTACCGACAGATAAGCTGCTTCACCATGGACGACATCTACTAGAACCGCATCAGGTACTGTACAATGGCAGAGCGAGGCCGTGCCTGTGAGAGTGTGCGTACTCTTTTGTGGGTGTATTCATGTGCTTCTGTCTTTGTGAGGACAGAAGCTGGGCACTTTTGCAAAAGGCGGGCACCTCTGGAAACAGAGAGTGAAAATATTTTTGCAAAGGACATGTTTGTCTAATTCATTAGTGCAGCATTACTGGATCACCTGTTTGAAGTGATATAATATGATATACAACTATCACTGAAACAGCAAACTTTGTAAATAAGCAAACAACACTTCTCATTCTCTAAAGGTTTGGCCACAGCTGTAGATTACGCTATCGGTGCTTGTTCACTCTTGACAATAATTACATTTCTAAATTGTCTTTGTGCATTTACAGGTAAACAATATCTAATATTTTATCTAAATGATTGCTTTGTCTTTGAAAAGGTGAAGAGCCTGAGGCTGGTGACAGTCCAGTTCTAATCAAAGGACAGCCTTCTTCGCCTGGCTGTGACGTAATCGGCCTTCAAATGCAGCCTCCGAAGGATGCAGCTGACGTTTTGGGACACAGCTACTATGTCGATCTGAGACAGCGAGACCGAGACAGCGAGACCAAGACAAGACCAAGACCACGTAAAAGTGGTCTCGAGACCAAGACCGGTCTTGAAACATCCAACATTTTGAAGCTTAAATATGACTCTGACTGTCCACCTGCTGTTTTAGAACTAAAGAACCCTCTTGGATGAGAAGTAAAACGTCTTCAAGAACCTAAGTCATGTTGCCTTCTTTTCAAAACACTGAATACCCACATGGGCATGAAGCAGGTAAAGCACTTTGGGTGCGTTGAAAAGCGCTATAATCCAATCCATTATTATTATTATTATTATTATTAAACCTTTACCTGTCTACCCTGGATTCACAGTGACCTCTTGTGGTTAAAATAATGCAGTACAGTTAAATGAGCCTCTTGTAAGATTCACAGACCTCTGTTGAGGTAATACTGTATGGAATCAGATTAACAGATCCAGAAATTATAACAAAACGGAAGAACATATATGTTCTTGGTATAAATGTGCAGATCACCCTAACAAAAATGATTACAGACTTATGGCTGACTTTTTTGTTTTTTGCCAGCTTAATAGTTAGGTTATAAGGATATACAGCTCCACTTTATCTAAGCGTGTGTATAACAAAGGTACACACACACACACCTATCATGGCAGTGAATGTACAGCCTGGGTCTGCAGATTCCCATTTAATGTATACACACACACACACACACACACACACACACACACACACACACACACACATGTGTATATATATATATACATATAGATAGATAGATAGATAGATATATATATAGATATAAAAAAAATCGAGTCACTGTTACATTTTTGACTTCGTAACTCACATTTTTGATAAAATAACTAATAAATAACTTTAACTATTTTTTATTTATTAGATAAAAATATGAAATGTTTTGATAGTTACACAATTTTTTTTAATCTCCAAACAAGCTTCCGTAGTTTTCTGTTTTAGTTTCTGTAAAAAAAATTTCAGCTTATCTTTTTTGTTTTATCCTGTATTGTGAGTTTGAAATACGACTAGTCAGAAGAAGGAAAAACAGCTGGAGTACATTTCCACTCTTGCTATAGGCTGCAGGCAGTCACGTGTCTCCCATGCGCCAAGCCCTGTGACTCCGCCCAACGGCTGCTGTGATGTTATGAAAGCAGAGCAGTGGGTGTGACGAGCGGGGTTCTGCGGCTATAGACTCACAAACGGGTAAATTAACTCGTCTTTTTCTTCGCTTTTATGTAAAAAGCCGCTCCAACGGGCTCTGTAGCATCTGTATTTAGGTCTGCCGGCGCTTTGTGTCCGTGTGCAGTCGTGGCAGGCTGTGATCCGTCTGCAGTCCATGCTGTTTAATACATAACACAACACGCAGCATCACGTGTGCGCGGCAGCAGTCGGGACAACACCGTGCCCTGTTGCGTTTATGCAACTTTATGCAATGGTTTCAGTGTCGTGCAGCATAAATACACAAAGGTGGATTTATATGTTTTAAATTAAATGTTGTTTGTTTGGGATTTTTAATGTGTTACAATGTATTTCAGTGGTTTTTAAGTAATTATTTTCATGTAAAATCAGTTCTGTCCCCATAAGGTCACAAGGTGAGACACGTGGTGAAGTTATGAGTTGTTTGAGTGGTTTTTTTAATTTGTTTTGTTTTTGTTTTTGGCGTTTTCTGAATATTAAAAATAACAAAAAGTGTCCAAGTTGAGCCTCCTAACTATAAATATTTGCTGGTCTTCATAGTCATCATTAATGGTAAGGTGCATATTTTGTATGGCGATATTGTTGCGATACAGGGATACACAGGACCAACAACTGCTGAATGTGTCTGTCTGTTTCTGTCATTGTGGACAGCAACAGATTTTTGACCATGTCTCAGTTTCGGTGTCCAGAAACAGACTGCATGTTATTGCCAACTTGACTGCATTCAAGTGCAGACTGATATCACACTGATGACAGACCAGTATCAGACTGATTGGATATAGTTTAACTTTTGTTATCTGCAGTTGATTAAATGTGATAAAGCCGACGACTCAGCATATCACAAAATTTTACTATAATATCCTTTTGTGCAGTGTCTGGTGATTCTCAATGTAATATTTGTGATGAAAAAGTCAGCATAGGCTCAAGAAAGTTGTTGCTGTTATTTTTCAGTATTTTCAGAGCAAGTGAGTTAACTGAATGAGGAAAATCACCTGATTGGCAGCTGACAGTATGAATCTTGTGACGGGCAGTCATAAGTGGTACATGACACGAACGCTGCAAATCCTCTGTAATGCATCATGGAGCACATCTTTCATCTCGGTGTGTAAAAATTGTAATTTTTTGTGCTTTTTCTCATTTGTTCTGCACAGATCCACTACACTCTTTAGCAATGCTTCGCATCACCTCTGCCACCCTGTACACCTGCTCACAGAGGGTGAAGCTGCTCCTACCTCCTTCAGCCTCCACCTCCACTGATACCTCTCCCAGCAAAAGAGTGGAAAACCAGCGCACAGTGGACTCCCTTTATGAGCTTTCAGTGGACATTCGAAAGGTCCGCAAGTTCAGAGGCTGGGTTCTGTCTGAGTGCTCTGCGTATGTCTCTGAGACCGCTGACCTGCTGAGAGACATGGGTGCAGACACAACGGCTATCACCCACATCCTGGAAACTCACCCTGAGGCTATCCTGTGTCGCCCAGAGGACGTCGCCACGCAGCGAGACCTCTGGTTGTCTGTTTGTCCCAGCAAACGTCAGTTGATGAACATCATTGAAAAGTTCCCAGCCTCCTTTTTTACACTTACTCACCACGGTAACCAGCGGGCCAACATCCTGTACCTCCAGAACCTTCGCCTTAGCAAGAGGATCATCAGCAAGCTGATGGCCAGTGCCCCGCAGAGCTTCAGTCAGCCTGTGGAGCGCAACCAGGAGGTCATCCACACGCTGAGGGAGATCTACCTCGACCTGGGTGGAGAGGAGAGGAACCTACGTGTCTGGCTGCAGAAGCTTCTCAGCCAGAACCCTTACATTCTGCTGCGACCAGCTGAGGCTTGGAGGGACAGTCTGGGCTTCCTGAGGGAGGAGGGGTTCACCACGGAGGAGCTCCTCAGCCTGGTCTCCAGCCTCAGAGCCTCCATCGCAGAGCTGAAGCCTGAGGACATGCAACGGGCGATGGACTACATCGAAGCGGCTCTCTGCTGCTCTAAAGACGAACTTAAGCAAGTAGTGATCCGCTGCCCTGCCGTCTTGTACTACTCCTTGCCCACCTTATTGGGGCGGTTTCAGGGGCTGATGGATGCGGGAGTGACGATGGATCAGGTGAAGGAATCTCCAAATGTACTCGAGCTCACCACGCAGATCGTGCTGTATCGTATCCAGAAACTAGCCTCCTACGGATACGACATTCGCTCCGGCAGCCTGGCCGTTATTGTGGGAACAAAGAAGGACTTTGAGGCGAGTTATGGCAAGCTGCAGCTCAGGCAGCAGAGGCCACTCTTCAACCCTGTGGCTCCTCTGAAATCTGCTGAGGATTGAGTGTCGGTGCGCACCTTGTTATGAAATGTGGTTTACTGCTTCAGCTTTGTGCAAGGAAAATAAGAAAATCCCACAAAAGGCTGAAGACTGTTCAGGAAATATGACACTATCTGTAAAAGTTTCCAGTTTGGGAAGTGCCTGTTGTGTGTGTGAAACAGCTGCTTTTCTTCTCTGAGAGAAGACTTTAACTGCAGCACAGAGTCTGTACGGTTTTTAATCCTCAGCTGTAAAAGGCTGATGCAAGTTTGTGAATGTAATAACTCAAGAATGAGGCCAAGTAGGAGCTTCAAATCGATACCACAGATGTATCTATAAAGTCTATTCAGTGGCCTCAAGGTTAGAGGTCAAATTTTCCGAAAATCTTGTGAATGCAATAACTTGAGAACAAGGCGATGTAGGATTTTGAAATAGATATCACAGGTGTGTCTCCTTTGGAGGATATGTGTGATAGGTGGTGTAGTAGTTAAGTATGGTGACAGATTCTTTGCCTTAACAGAAGACCATTCATTTTTCTCTGGCCAAACAAAACCATTTTATGCATGAGAAAATAAATTATTTAAAAAGTGTTTTTACTATTTTGGTGATTTTTTGTTTTTTTTGCTCTTTTGAGGGAAGGCGAAGACTTCTTTTTTTCTTTAATTGTTCATTGATAGTGAAGCACAGGCCGTGGCATGCAGGCCTACCAGATACCGCTGGTACCATTTGACAACCAGTGGAAAAAGAAAGGGAGGGTGGGACATGGAAGTGAGGATAAAAGGTTGTATGCTTGTTTGGAAAATCAAGCATTTTCGTTGTGGCTGTAAGGGGAGTGGTCAGGATGTGGTCCACCTTGTGATATTTGGATAAATTACCTCCAAGATTAAAACAGCATTAGATGGACATTGAAGCCAACATCAGATGGTCTTTAACCTGCCAGCTCACTAATACAAAGTCCACAGTGGTTGCACTGATATGCACCAGTGTGAGTGTAGAGAAAATGGTAGTCCAGTGTATTCACCTCTCCTGCTGTGAGACTACACTTATGCCCTATGCAGTGTCTGGGCCGCGGGTTCAGTAGGTCAGACTTTTACTGGCTACCAAATAAAGCCACATATAAATCTAATACTGTACCTGTAGTGAGAACATTGACAAAGTACACTCACTGGCCACTTTATTGGGTACACCAAACAAACAAACAAAACCCCCCAAAAACCCAACAGCAGCCAACATGTCTTAATACTCTTTATCAATTATGGATCCCCAACCTCCTCTTATAACAACTATGCACTGTGCTGAGTCTGCATAATAAATGGTTTGAAAAACTTTAATATAATAATGTAAAACAGCTCTATTACCGGGTTGCTTTGTGTACAGGTCTATGAAGTGGCAGGGGGATTTTTCCAGTGTCTGTACTGAATAATGCTACTTTAATTGCTCTACGTGGTCGAGACTGAAATGTTGTGCCTGTTTTTCATCTTCTGCTTCGCCGCAAATAGTTATTTAACTTGTTTAATGACTGAGCCTCAGGTTTGATAACTAAAGGCATCACACTAAAGCCGGTGGAATATATTAAGATCTCTAAAATTATTCTTAGACACTACAATAGGTCATCCAGCCAATTGCGTTGCTTTTGAAGGTACCATTGTAATGTGTATCAACTTGAATGAAAACCTACAAATCTAGAAAGGGCTGATTACATTTGGAAACTGCAAATTTTTCTCAAAGATTGAACTCTGACTTTTGAGTTACAAAGAAAAGACTGAAACTATTTGTATATTTGAAGCTGTTTTAATTAAACAAGCACATTGAGAAGGAACAAGAAGCAAGTGAAGCATTTCTCTCCAGTGGTACATTTATTAGAGAGTATATGGGTGGTGGGGTGGCACACCAGGAATATGCAGGCTCTGTAGTCCTCTCACCTTTTCTCAATAAACACAGACGAGGGCAATAACATGATGGTTTGTGTCATATAGAAGTTTGAAGGAATAAAACGAGTCCACTAGTACTGAAACACAGAAAGGATTTTTGCTGACATTTACACTCGATGGGCTCAATGTGGAAAAACTTTAAAAACTCGGGTGCATTAGCAGACATTTCTGACCATTTATGTTTTTAATGGAAGGTCTAAAAATGCATTTCTTTTTATTGAAAATTTCCCCAAAAGAACGATCAATCCACAATGAATTCTCATATCAAAAATATATCAACGGGTCTATGGCTACACAAAGAGAGAAAACACACATACAATATCCAAATATGTACACGTTGTATGTGAGCTGCTTTTAGCAAATTCATTATATACACAAAGACTTTAGTCTCGGCATTATTAACCCAAACAGGAGCACAGTGTAACATCACTGGCTGGCCCACACTGTAATAATATTCAGTCCGATTAAGTTGAGAAACATGTTTTGTGACAGGTGGGGATGCCCGTCCTGAAGGTGTGTTCGTGCATTGTAGTGCTGTAAGAAATATTTGAGTCTATTTTAGCATCCGTTTAGTTTTGGCTGTGTTCTCGATATGATTGAAACACCTGCAACAGAAGAAAGAACAATAAGTGGCATGTTCAGACATTTCTGAAAATACATTTAACTCCTTCAGTGCTGACTTTTTCAGCGCACTGAAAAACATTCCAACATTACATGTTAAGGAAAACAAAACATTGAGAATCTGACCTACAACTTTTCCTGTCACATGACCTGAGGTGAGTGAGGGTAATCTGCTGAAATTAGGTGCTTTGAGACCATACAAATATTTACTGCATTACAGGAACTCTGAGTGAAGTAGGTGTACTGTTACTGGTCCAGATGTGTGTCTGCTGTTTGATCGACGAATGAACGGAACACTGGGAATCCGGCATTTAAAGAACATAAACACTGATAAAAAAAAATCAGCCATGTCAACAAACACTCAACTATCTTCCTCTCATCTGAACTCACAATCACAATGGTAGCAGCTGTTTCAGTTAAATCCACAGCAAAGCAAAACATAAAATAAAGAGGCTGAAACATGACTACAAGGAAATGAAAGCAACATGAGGTGGTGCTGCATTTAAACCTCTGGCTGGCAATTACATCACTTCAGAGTTCCTCTTAACAGTGGTTAGTAAACTGCTATTAATTACTGACTTAAAATTTGTGTATCTCATTGTGTGGATATTGTGGATTATAAAGGCAGGAACGGCTGATAAAAACACTGAAAAGGTTTGGCTCATGCCTGCCTTGTTCAGATGGTTTCTACTGGCAGAAGCAGTGAAAACAAGGACTGACAGTCAGTACGTTTCACCGTATTATTAAAAACAAGGAATAAAATTCCTATTTCTGACCCACCTCTCTGAATGCTGCTCACTAAAGTACATCTTGTATGTGTTTTATATAATAATAATAATGTGTGAGACTGCAACTGACCTCTTTAGTGGATGCTCTGTCTCTGGACTTTGGAACTTTTGCTATTCCCAGAGTCCTCACTGTGTCGTTTGCCACTGGTCTGAGTGGTGGGGTGGTGTTCAGGCCCTAAAAAAACATAAGAGCACATTTCAATAAACCATGAAACTATAAATTTCGACTAAATACAAAAACATGGCTTAAAATGAAAACACTCTTTTAGGGGTGGCGTGCAGTGATGGTCAAACACAGGACTGGGACTCAAGTTTTTCAACCAGTTAAGAAAGATTAATAAAAGAAATCATCATCAATCAGTGAAATGTTTCACTCGCACCTTTTTGAATTACAGGACCAGGATTCTGCTGCGTGCCTTGAGTGTAACACATCATACTGGTACTGGCAGCGTAACCTGGAACTTCAATTAAGATTCAAGGATTAGCAGCGAAACACTGAAGAAGATGCATGAAAGGATGCAGTTAATGCATGAAGCACGTAAAGTACGCAAAACTCGTTCCACTTGGGGACCGGTTTCATATTGTCCAATCAACTGGAATCCTTTTTTTTTTTTTTAAAAAAAAGCTGCTTTCAGGTGCTCCCTTATTTACTTTATTTACCAGGGGTCACCACGGTGGGTATGCTGCATTCTTTAATGCTGGATGCCCCAGAGGCACTTGTGTCTCCTCCTGAGATCAAACCACTACACTATAAAACTATTGTGCAAACACCTGCTATATGTTCAAATATCCATCCATTGTCTTCCACTAATAGACTGACTCTATCCCAGCAACTCACATTCAAACCTAAGGGCAATTTACAATCACCAGTTAACCTAACAACACTCACTGCATGTCCATCCACTCCATGTAGACCTGACAACAAATCAACACAAACAAATGTACTTCCACGTGTTATGAAGGTGTAGGGGCAGTGATAAGCATCGCCACCTGATAACAACAAATCAGCTGGTTGTGTCAGGAGGAAGTCCTTTTACTTTTCTACTAAATTTAGACTTAAAGGGACCACTGCTCTCTTCTTAATGGTGTGTGAAATTTAGCACAGTCATGTTCAATGGCTTTTCTCTGGGTAGCAAAGAGCCAAAGCTTCCCAGCTAATCAGCACGCCTGTTATTGAAGGAAAATATCCTGCAGGGTGAGCAGATTATTTTTCTTAGAATGACAGATGGGTGATGGTCAGCTGCAACTAAAACTAACTGTCTTGTTGTTTAGACTCATAAAAATGTAGAGTCTACAATAAAAAAAAAACCTGGAAACTGAGATAATCAGTGATACAGTCCAGTTATAGCACCAGTAAAAGCGGCACACACAGGAAAATGATAAGCATCAAGTGGATAATCAAGTGAAGGTGCACGGGTAGTTAGTCCCCACCATGTTGGTGCATGCCGACGCTGGTTTGCGGATCCCCCTGCACGTACATCATGACACCACTTTGCCAGTCTCCCTGGGAGTGAACTGGCATCTGATAGGCTGAGAAATAAATAAAAGAACAAACAGGTCTTCTTCAAAGAGTTCACTGCCAGAGGCTACACAGGAAGTCATGAAACATCCACAAGTTTGAAGTGTCAGAGGAGGAGTGGGTCTCTGTGCCACTTACTAGATGGAGCTGCAGCATCACGTGAAGTCTCAGAGAATCGCATCGAATCTGAGGATGCCTCAGCGTTTCCATTTCCATTTCCGTTGCCATTAGAGCCAGATGGAACTGTAGCCAAAAGACCTGAAGACACAGAGAGTTACAGAGTTAGTCCAAAACATACACAAACAATAATATTAAAAACACCAAATTAAAACACTGAAAATGTATATGGTTTAAATACCTCATTTGTAGATATTTATGCTGACTTTGAGTTTTTTTTCATTACTACTTTTGAGACATTTTAAAATCACTGACTACAGTCCAAAATAAGGCATTTATTTATTTATTTTTAAGTGAATCAGGTATTTTCATTTCCAGCTTTATAATTTTAATCTTAGGTCTAGGAGAGCAGCTTTGTATGATTAACAATGTCTAATAGTTCTTATTGCGCTTTGGTGCTGCCCATCCAAATTAAAAGCTTTGAACAGAAGTGGGTGGGACTTATGAAAGATATCCACTCTCAGTGACACCATAGAGATGTCAAGATGTGGCATTACTGGGATTATTTACACATCCCAGCCTCGTTGAGCTTTTAATATGAGCATCCATCACTGTAGAAG